CGGGCCGCCGGGCGCTCATGTCTACGCGGGCCGAGGGGCGCGGGACGCGAGCCGGGGGCGCTTCAGGTCCGCGCTGCTCGGCCTCGGCTCCTCCCCGGGTCGTCCTCGTTTCCGCCGCTTCCACGGCTGCGTCCAGATCTCTCAGCTCCAGGCCGCCGAGGGGCGGTGACACCGCGGGGGCGGAGCCCTGGGCCGCGGGGGCGGGGCTCTGGGTCTCGGGGCGGAGCCCTGGGCCTGGGGGAGGAGCCCAAGACCGTGGGGGCAGGCCCTGGATCGTGGGGGCGGGGCTCTGGGCTGTGGGGGGGTAGGTCTCATGACCTGGGGGCGGGGCCAGGGGGATGAGGGTCTGATCCGCGGGGGCGGGGCCCATGCCCACGGCCCTAGGCATCCGGAGGCGTGTCCCAGGTAGGTCCCGCCCCCATGATCCCCATCCGGTGCACCTGTTGCCACTGCAGGGGTCTGGCGAGAGGAGGATGGTGGAACTCTGGCCTCAGGCTCCCCAGCACCCGAAGGTCAGGAGGGTAGGCGACGTTGGTATTTGGGGCTTAAAGCAAACTAATTTGGTGACAGCGGGGGAACGATACAGAGAACCAGCCCCCCTTCCCCTCCATTGCTGAGGTAGATAGATGTCTGGTGGCAAAAAGTCAGCTTGGCTGGGTGAAGCCTGGGTGGCTCACACCTGTAATACCAGCTGCTGAAGAGGCAGAGATCTGAGGATCACAGCTCCAAGCCAGCCCTGACAGGAAACTGAGGTGGTGATGTTGTGGGTTTGGGGTTGTTTTTTGTTTTTCAGTCGTGGGGCTTGAACTTGGGGCCTGAGCACCATCCCTCAGCTCTTCAGCTCAAGGTGAGCTCTCTACCACTTGAGCCACAGCAACACTTCCAGTTTTCTGGTGGTTAATTGGAGATGAGTCTCATGGACTTTTCTGCCTCAGCTGGCTTTAAACTGTGATCCTCAGATCTCAGCCTCCTAAGTAGCTAGGATTACAAGCACAAGCTAACGGCACCTGGCATTGTTGTTGTTTTGCTGGTCGTGGAGCTTAAACTCAGCCTGGGTGCTGTCCCTGAGCTCCTTTTGCTCAAGGCTAGCCCTCTACCACTTGAGCCACAGCGCCACTTCCAGCTTTTTCTGTAATTAATTAGAGGTAAGAGTCTCATGAGCTTTCCTGTTCCAGCTGGCTTCAACCCTCAATCCGTCAGATCTCAGCTTCCTGAGTAACTAGGATTATAGGCAGGAGCTTAGCTTTTCTGTGAGATTTTTTTTTTTCCTGTGAGACTCTTATCTCCAGTTAACCACCAAAAACTCAGAAGTGGAGCTGTGGTTCAAATGGTAGAGTACTAGCCTTGAGCAAAAAATGCTCAGAGTTTGCCACGCACCAGTGTGAACTTAGGATCACAGTTCAAAGCCATCCCAGGCAGGAAAGTCCAACAGGGGCTGGGAAGGTGGCTCAGTGGTAGAGTGTTTGCCTCGCATGCCTGAGGCCCTGGGTTCCATTCCTCAGCACCACATAAACAGAAAAAGCCAGAAGTGGTGCTGTGCTCAAGTGGTAAAGTGCTCGCCTTGAGCTGAAGAGCTGAGGGACAATGCCCAGACCCCAAGTTCAAGAACCACAACCAACAACAACAACAAAAAGCTCAAGCTGAGTAGGAGTGCACACTCACGCATGCACGCGTGCGCACACACACACACAGACAGAGACAGAGCTGAGGGTCAACACATACCCTCAACTCTGAGGGTTAGTACCATTGACTACAATCTCCTCACCTGGGGGATACTTAGCTCAGGCCAGTGAGCAGAGGTCTGGAATAAGGCACCAGCAGTCTCTCAGGCTGAGGAACTCTGGCGATGACTGAAGAAGCAGGCTGCTTTCCAGGGCTTCTCTAGGGCAGAGTAAACTGAGGCACAAGTCTTTTTGTCTACCCTGATGGCTTCTCTCACAGGCACAATGCCCAGTCCACATTCTTGTGTTTGTACACAGTTACACACCAGCTCCTAGGCAGACAAATCAGAGACATTTATCTTTAATCAACCAACAAAAATCCAGAACTGGAGCTGTGGATAAAGTGCTAGCGTACTAGCCTTGAGCAACAAAGCTCAAGGATGGTGTCCAGGCCCTGAGTTCAAGCCCCAGTACACACACACACACACACACACACACACACAGAGTACTTAAGGCTAAAAATAGATACAGATGGTCTTCCAGACCATGGGTCATATGGGTCATAGATTTTTGCCTCTGTGGATTCAACCAATTGTAAATTCAAAGTATCCAAAACCAAAAAACAGTGTCTGTATTTTGATCATGTACAGGCTTTTATCTTTGTTATTTCCGACATAAATCAGAACAACTCTTTATACAGCATCTGCATTGGATTAGATAGAGATGATTTGATTGAGTTATCTGGGAGGAGGATGTGGGGTCAAATAGGCTGCTATTTTACCCAAGAGGCTGCAATGTACGCGTCAGTGGTGGAGGTCTTGGCATTATTTCCCTCCCCTCGAAGCCTGAAGAATGACAGCAGGACTGGGGACAATACAAGTTGGGTGCACTATCACCTCACCTGCCCCACACCCAGTCTGAAGACTGTGAAGTGATGGACAGGTATAAACCACCTATGGCATGACAGTATGAACAAGAGTTCCCGCCCCCAAGTGAGTACTGCTCACAGCTGCTTGGAGTGCTGCCGCACCCCACCCCATGCTCTGCCCTCCAATCTGGCCTTACTGAGGTAGCCCTGAAGGACCATCCTTTTATTCCATGGATGCCAGCCTGCTGCACTGTGGCCTTGTCTGGAGAAGGAAAATGCGGTCAGCCTGTGACCAGGCTCTAGCTCTGTCCTGGGTGGCGGCCTGGGGCTACAGCGAAAGAGCTGCCCCTTTTTCTTATTCCTGTGGGGAGTGACTGAATCTGAGTCATCATGATTTGGGAGCTTGGTCCTAGCTGCCAATTCTCCTAGCTGGCAACCTGCCAGCTCTAGGACAAAGGGGAGGGGACCCCTACAGAGAAGGCAGGCAGAGGAAAAGGGAAGAGCATGACTGGGTCCCCACTATGTCCTCTTCAGCCTGAGGCATGGATGGAAGGGAGGATCAACTCCCAGCTGTAGCTGGGGGTAGGGTGGGGTGGGGTGCTTTGGGCTGACCCAGCCTCTGGAGTTCATGCTGGCCAGCTCTGTGCTGATTCAGCCCCGTCCTTGTACCCAGTGATGATCAGAGAGAAGTAGAGGTTTTCCCAAGGTCACCCAGCAAGTTGATGGCAGAACAGAACAGACTAGCACTCAGGTGTGACCCCTGCGCGGTACAGGGGCAGGCGGCTCTTCCTCGGGAGGCCACGGTCACCTTCCCAGTCCTTGGAATTCTGCTGAAACGGAGACAGTGTCCAGACAGCTCCAGGCTCTGTGGCCGTCCTCCCAGGGGCTGGCTGTCCTCTCCCAGCTCAGCTCACAGCCCATCTGCCCTGTGAGCTTCTACTGTCTGCCCTGGTGCCCTCCTGCCATGCCCGCTTATGGCAGTGGGGCGAGGGAGAGAGCCCGACTGCGCCCTTCACACCTCACCCTGCATTCTCCAGCCATGATCTTAGGGTTCCGGGCAGATTCCCCCCCTCCTCCTGCAGCTGCCCCCGTTTATTTCAATTCATCAACAGACATTGGCCGCCCCAAGTGCTGTGGGCACTGGAGCGTACAGGGATACCGCGGGGCCTGATGGGAGGAGAAGTAATGACAAGAAGCACTAGGGATGAATCGGAGCAGCGCTTGCGCTAGCAGTCCTGGGGGGGGAGGGTTGGGAGGGAGGGTGTCAGGATGAATGCCACCTGCATGTGTGAGCACTGCTGCTCCTGCGGAGGGCTGGCAGGCAGCTTCAAGGCTACAGTGAGTCTGAAGCTGGATGTGGAAAGTGGGGTGGGATGTTTGCAGGCAGAGCTGGCAGAGCGCTCTCTTGCACAAAGGTTTGGAGGCAGGGACATTCGGAGCATAAGTGACATCCTGGGAGACAGTGAGGCTGGGCACAGAGGCTGCCCTTCCCCAGGCTACAAGAATATCTAGGAGTGCTGAGCACCCGTGGCTCACATCTGTAATCCTAGCTACTCAGAAGGCTGAGATGTGAGGTTCTGAAGTTCAAATCCAGCCCAGAGAAGTCAAATCTGAGTGACTCTTACCTCCAAATAACCACCAGATAAGCTGGAAATGGAGCTGTGGATCAAGTAGTAGAGCACCAGCCTTGAGTGAAAAAGCTCTGAGACTCACCCAGGCTCTGAGTTCAAGCCCCAGTTTTGTTTTGTTTTTAAAGGCCCAGATTAACTTTGGAATAGCATTCAGCTTGAAACTGGTGGCTTCCAGATGGTCTTGCAGGACTAATGGTCTTCCTCTTCTTTTTTTGGGGGGGGTCAGGTTGTGGGGCCTAAACTCTGGGTCTGGGCGCTGTTCCTCAGCTCTTCAGCTTAAGGCTAGCGCTCTACCACTTGAGCCACAGCGCCACTTCTGGCTTTTTTCTTTTTGCT